ATGCCACGGCCCGACATTCCATAACAGTCCTGACGAGGACTGGCCCCTACACGTCCACGATTCTCGACGCCCTCAAGGGGACGCCAAGGCATCTCTACACCAGCAGGGAACACCAGGCGCGCCCAGCAGCAGACCATGAGTGCATTGGTGGCTCAGATGGCGTCTCTAGCTACTGGCGGCCACGGTCATGCCCCTATGCCAGTCATGAAGCCCTCAGCAGTGGTCGCTCCAGAGAAGTGTGAGGCAGAAATGCCAGCAGCGGCGTTTAGGACGTGGAGGTGGTCCATGGAGTCGTGGGTGATGTTGAACGGATGGTCACAACTGGTGGCCACACTGAACATTCGCCTGAACTGCGTCCCTGCACTCCAAAGGGTGATTGACTGGAGATATCTCAGCAGTCAGTGGGAGCAGCTCTCGCCCAAGGAAGCCCTGGACACCATCAGTGGAATGGTTCTTCAATCTTAAACCAAGCTGTGCAATGGAACGAGTTTTTCAACAGCAAACAACGTGAAGAGGAGCCCATGAAAAGGTATTTTCAACGATGCTTTGCAGAGGCAGTGGAGTGTGAATTTAAATGTCCCACCTGTGATAATGACCTCTCTGAGTACATGCTATTACATAAAGTTATGGTGGGCCTGAGTAACCCATGTTGAAAAGGGAAATTTTCCAGGGGTACTTGAGTTATAATAGTGTTGAAGTGCTTAGAAACAAGTGTATGTTATTTGAGGCAACAGTGAGAGATGCTGGTGTATTGTGTCGTACGTCTGGCCAGGCAGTGACGGGAACAGCCATGGAGGCAGCGGCGGTTGGTGATGACGTCACGGGTGAGTCTGAGGTAGCTGCCGCCCGACCTAGACACCCCAGTCACTCACACTGTGGGAACTGCGGCGTGACGCATGCCCCGGGCAAAAGCAACTGCCTTGCAAGTGGGGCCACATGTCGCAATTGCTCTAAGATTGGTCACTTCAAAAGGTGTTGTAGGAGTAAGAACATAAGATCATAAGAATGGAGGTAACTGCAGCGGCCCTATTGGCCCATACTGGGCAGTCCCATTTTCACCCAACCCCTATTGCTCATATATCCATCCAACCTATGTTTGAAGCTATCCAACGTATTTGAGTTAATGATGATATTTGGTAACTTGTTACCACTGATCCACTACTCTATTTCCAAACCAGTGTTTACCTATTTCGCGCCTAAATTTAAATTTGTCTAACTTAAAACCATTGTTACGAGTTTGCTCCTGGCTGGATAGTTTGTAATGTCCCCTTTGTTTAGCCCTGACTTCCATTTATACACCTCTATCATGTCGCCCCTCACTCTACGTCTCTCGAAGGAGTGCAAATTAAGATGCTTTAACCTGTCTCTGTACTCAAGGTTCCTAATGCCCGGGATTAGTCATGTCATTCTCCTCTGAATTCTTTCCAAGGATTCTATATCCATTCTGTAATACGGTGACCAGAATTGAACTGCGTAATCCAAGTGAGGTTTCACAAGCGCAAGATATAGTCTTAAGATGACCTCGCTAGTCTTGTAACTAACACTCCTTTGTATGAACCTAAGTACTTTATTACCCTTGTTTCGAGCAAAAACACATTGTTTATGTATCTTAAGATTCCTACTTCTCATTACTCCTAAATCTCTCTCGCAGTCGGATTTCTCAATAACATCGTTGTTCATCTGGTATCTGGTTTCCCTGTTTACATCTCCTCTACTGAGTACTTTACATTTGTCCACATTGAATTTCATCTGCCATTTTTCAGACCATTTGAAAAATTTGTTTAGATCTTCCTGTAGTTTTGCGGAGCCCTCGTCAGATTTAATTACACGTTCTATTTTAGTGTCATCAGCAAATTTACTTATGTTGCTGTCTATGCCGATATCTATGTCGTTTATGTATGTAATAAATAATAATGGTCCAAGAACTGAGCCTTGGGGAACTCCACTAGTGGCGTTGCTCCAATGGGATTTAGTGCCGTTAATGCTCACTCGCTGTTTCCTGTCTTGTAACCACGCCCTAATCCATTTTAGAATATCACCTCTAATGCCATGAGTCTCTACTTTTCTTATTAGTCTTTCGTGAGGGACTCTGTCGAAGGCTTTGCTAAAGTCGAGATATACCACATCATAATTGTTCCCCTCGTCCACTGATTCGAAAACTGATGAAAAGAATGTTAATAGATTAGTTAGACATGAACGCCTGCTTGTGAAGCCATGTTGGGAATCATTGATCAACTTGATGTTAGACTGATTGGACGGTAGTTAGAGGATAGTGATTTATCTCCCTTCTTGAAAATCGGTATTACATTTGTTATCCTCCAGGATTCTGGTACTACATCTGTTTTTAAGGACACGTTAACAACTTTGCTAAGGGTATACTAAGCTCTTCATTACATTCCTTTAATACTCTGGCAAATATCTCATCGGGATCTGGTGACTTATTAGGCTTTAGTTTGTCTATTTGCTTACTAACATCTTTACTAGTCACTACAATCTCGCTTAATTTGTTTTCTTCACTATCTCTGTATAGAGTCGGTGCCTCGGGTATCATGTTTAAATTTTCGGTGGTGAAAACTGTTGAAAAATATTTATTCAGATTATTGCTCATTTCTCTGTCGTTATCAGTTAGCTTGCCGGTATCTGACTGTATTGGTCCAATCTTTTCTCGTGTTTTAGTTTGATACATTTGATAGAATCCCTTGGGGTTTGACTCTGCCTCCCTTGCTACCTTCAGTTCATTATTCCTCTTTGCTTTTCTTATCTCGGTCTTGACTCTACCGGCCAATACCTTATAATAATCTCGGAGGTAAACTTCGCCACGATTTATCCTCTTACCTATAGCCTTCCTTTGACCAATAATGTTCTTTAAATAATTATTTAACCATTTAGGGTCATTGTTGTTTGATCTGAGTTTTTTGTATGGTATGTTCTGCCTTTGTGCATTAAGTAACTCATTATTTAAATTGTCGTGGAACTCGGCAACCTAAGATCTCGTTATCAGGTCAGTCTCAACCGTCAGGTCTCTGGGTAGGGTGAGGTCGCCCTCTGTGGTACATTGTAGGTCACATCATGTGAGGGCATGTGGTTCACCCCCAAGCGTGATACCCCTTCTCTCAACTGCCTTTTCAAACTGTCAAAGTTTGCCCTTCTGAAATCTGGGACTTTCGTGGAATTTTCCTTACGGCTGCCCTGAAAATCTAACTGGAATCTTATTTCATGTGATCGCTGTTTGCACGTTCGTTCCCTACCTCGACATTGCTAATGAGGTTTTCTCTGTTCGACAGAACTAAATCGAGTATATTATTACCCCGGGTGGGTTCGGTTATATGTTGACTTAGGAAACAGTCCTGGATCATTTCAAGAAAATCCTCTGATTCTGAGTTACCCATAAGGTCAATCCAATCTATGTGGCTAGAGTTAAAGTTGCCTACAATACAGACTTTGCTGTGTTTGGAAGCCCTGCACATTTCATCCCAAATAAGTCGCTCATTAACTCTATCAAGATTGGGGGGTCTATATACAGTCGCCGCAAAATAAATCTTTACATTTTTGGCACAAATTAAATCTTTACACGGCATGCAGCGTAAAGATTTTAATTGCGCTCTTGGGCTAACAAAAGTGGGAGGAGCTTGTGATCACGTAACCGCCTCCCACGCACCTCCTGCCACCAGCCACCAAGGCCGCTCGTTTCAGTGAGCCTCGCTCTCTGATAGAGAGAGGTGCAAATATATGTAGCTCCGCCACCCGCCATTCTCCACACGTGCGCCAACTTTGAGAGCCTATATCTCCACCCAAACTGAACAGCAAATTTAGCTGTTCCCATAAATACTGTATGAAAAAAATAAATAAATAAAGATAATGTTTCGCAGTGCGGACTAATAGCGCTTTACACCCGCGCTCTCTGTTTCCATCACACGATCAGTTGAAACATGTGGGTTGTTTTGAAGAGTCCTCAGTGATTTTTGCTTACTATTTCTCCAATTTTGTGGTATTAACTGTGAATATGGAAAAGAAGAATATCTCCAAGAAGCGTTCTGGTGATCGCATTCCCGGTGGTGATCGTAAAAGAAAGGTTATAACACTTGAAGAGAAGCTTGATGTTATCAACCTCAACATCACCCTTCTCCCCCATCAAGTTATATTCATATTTTTTGAAGGTAAAGTGTTACATTTACTGTATGATTTCATTATTAGATATGACTGTAACATTTATTTAGACTGCTATCCTTTGTGTTAGGCTAACTACTAAATTTTTTTCGATTTCGAGTAATCTGCACCTAACCCAATTTTCTCCATAAGCCCTGTTATTTCTATTGCGTGAATTTCTACAACGCGAGGTTTTACAAGAACACAACTATCGCTTTGTAGCAGAACTGACTGTACAGTCTCTCCTCGACTTACGACGGGGTTCCGTCCCGATAAACAAGGTCATAAATCGAATTGGTCAAAAGTCGAAAAGGCGAAAATAATATAGAATTTCTAAAATGGGTGTCTCTTTTTCTTCTCAGCACCACGAGAAATCTCACTTTTACACTTGCCAGCCATTTTAAAGGGAATTACAAACGAAAAATTTGTCAGTACACAGCGCTATCACTAATGTCGGGACTCGAAAATACGTAATTTGAAAAATATTTTATACGACCACGGCGGTCGTGTCCGGGTTGTCGTAAGTCGAGTATGTCGTATGTGGAGGAGTACCTGTAGTTATAAATTAAGCTTTTATATTTACTCTAGTTATTTTACTGTGTGTACATCAGGAGACACACAAATTATGGTGAAGGGGTCCAAGAACTTTAGAATGGATGATGATTATGTGTGAAAGATGTTTTATATCTTACCATGTTGTTTATTTATCTTAAACTATTTATTATTAAATGTACTATACTGCACTGTACTGTACTGTACTGTTGGTTCCACTCCTATACTATATACTGGATGGATGAATTTGCACTGAATATTTTGATGACAATTAAGACTGATGTTTTTTTTTATTATTGCAGGGATTCCAATGCATTTTGTCATCAAAAAGTGGCAAACCATCTCCTTATGACGCTGGACAGAAAAGGTTTGCTAAATGATTTAAATATGACTTTATTTGATCCTGTGGTACTACGGTTAAGTCAGGTGACTCTGCACCATGCAAATAATGTGACTTATAAAGGACTAAAAATTCTCAGAAGTCATCAGATACAGTCAGTGGAGGTGAAGAACCTGTCCACAGTGTCGGTGAATGAGCTCATTAGTTGCTTTGGCGAGTGGACGCTGAATAATATACAGGCGTTGAGTATTAGTGGTTCATCGTTTACATCTCATATGCCACATGCAAATTGTAAGGATCCTTTGTTCTCTACGAAATTGTATGTTGGACTTTGCAAGTTAAAAAATTTGCATGTTCTAAACCTAAGTGGAACTGAACTAGCTTCTCATGCACTTTTAAATGTGTGTTATAACCTTCATATGTTATCATCACTAGACATTTCCAATTGTACTAAATTAGAGTCGGTGGAGTGCTTAATATTACGGAAAAACACTCTGAAATCACTGAACATGTATAACCTTAAAGTACTACGGATGCAAGAGACAAGACAAGTGTTGCTCGAACTCAAAGAACTTGTCCACCTTGACATCAGCGAGAATAAGAGTAATCAGGATCCAATAGGCCGACTGATGCCGATGTTTCCCATAGTTCCGAGCTTGCTCAGGGATCGACAGTTTGGTCCAAATCTACGCTCTCTGGACATCTCTGGCCAGGACCAAACTAAACTGGAAGACCTTCACTTCTTCCTTAAGAATCATTCAAAAATTGAATTCCTGGGGCTTATGCTGACATCTCTCTGCCTAGACACGCTGTTCCTTGATGACTACAATATTACGGTAATTATAAGTGTTTTACTGTTCTGTGCTGTAATTGATTAATATTTCCTCCCTGTGGTCAACATTGTCTACAAGACTTCAGCCACCAATAGTCGTCTCTGTGCTGTTCACAGACGGTCTTTACAGTACAGTAGTTACACAGTCTAAGCTGTCAAGTCACACAGATAATGTTTTCCTTCAAAATTACTCTTTTCATCCTAATGGTTGTTAGATAGAAAACATACAATGTAAACCAGTGGTGGACTCAGGTTTAGTGAGGCTTTCCCATCCCTGAACAGACTTGTGGAATGACCTTTACTTACAGTAATTTCTCAATTTAATGAACTAATTTGAGCCACCCCTTTCTGTTAAATCGAGAGTATACTGTACACTTAAAATGCTATTCATCCATGAGATATAGTTCATACTCCAACCCAAGGTAGGTGGAGACCCTGAGGCAAATAGCTTGTGGTGGCCCTCTCCTATAGTCAGTGTTGCACTGACAATTTTTGAGGTATATATATATATATATATATATATATATATATATATATATATATATATATATATATATATATATATATATATATATATATATATATATATATATATATATATATATATATATATATATATATATATATATATATATATATATATATATATATATATATATATATATATATATATATATATGTATATATATACAGTATATGTATATATATATATATATACATATATACATACATACATATGTATATATATATATATATACATATATACATACATACATACAGTGATCCTCGGTTAACTGAGATTTTGTTAACCGGTTACCCCTACAAGATTCTTAACTTGGTTACAACTTGTTAAACCTCGACACCTTAATTTCTACTAGCCAAACTCAACAAGTTACAGCACTTATGTCAACCAGCCAGTATTAGTCCACAACACATAATCGGTTCTAGGAATTAAATTCTTACTATTTTAGTAAATATCAAACATTTATACTATTCAATAATTTAAAAGTTTAATATTAAATTTTTAGTCATTTAACAATTATTGAACATAATTGAATGCAAAGTCCTGGATGATGAGAGATGATGTGCATTTGAAGTGGGAGGGCAGGAGGAGAAGGAGAAGAGAAGGTGGA